CTGTAAAACACCACGCCAAATCCACACGGGCAAGATGGAGAGAAAGGAATATTAGGGTTGAATTGTTTCAGCAGAGGAAAAGCACATAAACTAACGAGGAAGAGTCACCTGGCTTCCAGGCAGATAACGAACGTACAGCCTTTCAAGCCACAGAGGTTCAGAAAGCAAAAGTTATCCCCTCCCAGTATGCCTGATTTTCATTTGCCTGTTAAACACACTGAAAAGGGCAGCTGAACCTGCCAACGTGCTTGAGAGCTGACATGCTCACATGAGCAAGGGCTGGGAGACTTCTCTGGCATCAGCTCCCACCACTGGCAGGGATGCTCTGTTTAGTGAACACGCTGGTTTGCTCAGTGTTTACAGAGGAGGAAAATCAGTTAACTTCCTCCTGCAGATGCAGGCGGCTTGTTCAGCCCCGTGCCTGGTGCTTCCTCCAGGATTACACAATCCAAACCAACTCCTTCATGATTTACCTTCCAAAGCATCGCTGGCACTGTGATGGACACAGTTTCTGTAATTTACCATTTTAGTTCTGCTCAGCAAGACTGGTTCTGAAGCCTTCAGCTTCCATTCCAAGTTAGTGCTGCCTGCAGTCTTGTATTCCCATTTATTCACTCATTTGCACACACTTGTGCTTTGTAGTATTTCTACACAGACAGCAGCCTCTGAGCATGACATTAAGCCTTTAGTAAAAGAAGGGACAGATCTCTCAAGGTTTAGTCTTTGTGTGGCAGGTGATGGGCTGAACCAGCAATAAGAAGGCTAAAGGCACCTGACTGTCACAGTGCTGCTGTTAACCCTCGTTAACCAAGAGGGCAGGATTTTCAAATTATTATTATTTTGAAATATCATTTACCCCCAGAAGTGAGAAGCTGATAGATCTGACCCTGGGAAAGAAAAAGTGTTCTTGGATGCTCATGCAGAAGCACTGCATGAAACTGAAAAGGGTTTTTTTGGTAACTTTTCTGCTCTGCCGTCCTGACCAACACACTAAAGAGGTTTCTGTTGCAACCACTGTCAGTCTACACCGATGCCCAAGTGCCTGTAGTGAACTGTCAGTACTTTTAATCTGGTCTCAAAGGTGGATTTTATTTGAAATCACCAGAGGCATCCCTGCTACTCCACTCAAAGCCTGATGACTTGTACAACAGAAGTGAGAACAACACACTGGGATAGGTTCTGTCAAAGAAAGAGGATGAGGCCTTTTAGAAGAGTCAGGATTAATAAGCAACAATCCTGAATGAATAGGAAGAGCCTGATTGAGATATTTATTTAACAAGTAAACTCCACTGATGGCTCTGCCACACAATACTGAGCAGCTGCAGAACGCAGATAGCAAAGATGAATGAGGAGTAAAGCAGGAGCACTGTTACCCTGCACTGTCAAAAACAAGCAGGAAAATACACACACAGTGGGACCTGGAAAGCAGAATCAGCTTCTCTGCTGGTCACAGGAATCTGAATGGAGAGAAGGCACAGAATTTAGCTGTAGCCTTCCCTGCAATACTACAAAGTTAAGCTGTGGCAAGTACAAAAAAATACAAATACAGTCAGGTGTCATGGGAGCAAAGTGACAACACCCAGGAAAGGAGATCAAATGACCAGCACATTTAACCATGCCCCAAATGTATTATGTTCTCAGACACACAGTAAATAAAGAGAGCATGGAATGCTTTGGGCAGGAAGGGGCCCTTAAAGGCCACCTAGTCCAGCCCTCCACAATAACACAGTGAGTGAGGCTTAAGTCAAGCACTGCAGACCTCAGGCAGGGCACTTGCAACTCTGCACTTCCCAGAAGGGCAGTGGAGCTGGGGAAGGGTCTGGAGCACAATCTGATGAGGAGCAGCTGAGGGAGCTGAGGGGGCTCAACCTGGAGAAAAGGAGGCTCAGGGGGGACCTTCTGGCTCTGCAACTCCCTGACAGGAGGAGGGAGCCAGGTGGGCGTCGGGCTCTGCTCCCAGGGAACAAGGGCCAGGACATGAGGAAACTGCCTCGGGTTGCACCAGGGGAGGTTTAGACTGGATATTGGGAAATATTTCTTCATGGAAAGGGTGCTCAGGCCGCCCAGTGCAATGGAGGAGTCATCGTCCCTGGAGGGATTTAAAAGCTCTGTGGATGTGGCACTTGGGGACATGGTTAGTGCTGAGGGAACAGTTGGACTCAGAGATCTTTTGATTACAGAATCTTAATGATTCTATAATCTGGATGTGTATCTATTACATCTTCCTTTGTTGTTCCTTTCTGGGAAATGAAAGCACCATCTCCTGCCTCCTTAAGGCAGATGCTGAAGCAAGCGAGGTCAGAAGGCTGATTTTAAAGCCTGTAGCTGTACTAACATCCAATGCCCTTGTTCCTTTGTGTCACTCTTCCCTGGCAGCACAATCTGGCAGCACCTCCACACCCTGGCAAGGTCTGGGTGCCTCTTGCAACACACTTTGCCTCTGGCCACGTGTTTGTAGAGCCACCACCACGGAGCTTCCACCTGAGAAACCTTTCATGGAGAGATGGAACCGGCAGCCCTTGTAACTGCCCCTCATTGCCTGCCTGCTGCTGCTCAACACACACCCTGCAAGTCTCTGCTTTACCCTCTGCCTGTCCAGACGGTTCCACGTGAGGAGCTGAAAAAGCTGGAAAATTAACCTGAGGAAACAAGAGGTCAGGGCTGCTTTCTGGTTGTTTTGTTTTGTTTGTTTGTTTGGGGGGGGGGAGGTTTGGGTTATTTTAGGTTGGTTCTCCTTTGACACTCCAGTTCCTGGTTCAGTTCACAGCCTGGCCAATCCTGGCTAATCCAGGCACTGGATTAGCATAACCCAGGGAACAGCACACCAGGATGCTGCAGCACGGACAGCAGCAGTCCCACACCTAGCCTTGTGCCCAAAACTCTTTGTACTTGTTGGCTCTGGGTTTCAAGAGGTATTTAAAACTCTCCCAAGCAGAATTCACTTCCCTACTGACTCTCCCAAGCGACTCCTCATCCACTAGTTGCTTTGTTAGCAACTCATCCTTCAGCTACAGCTCTTCTTTCTTTTCAGCCAGGAAGAGTGGGACAACTGGAAGCTGAGCATCCTGCAAGAAGAGGTGAGTAGCTGGAAAGTAAAAGGATTCCCCACCTGACAGAGGAAGGCATGTTAAGTTCACAGCTTCACATTATTTCCTAAAAAGAAAAGAAAAAAAAGCAGTCCAAGAGTGGAGCACCCAGCAGTGATTTTTCTTTTTTTCTACTCTTAGACATAATACAGCTCTCTCCTAGGTATGGATATTCAGAGGAGGAGAGTACCCAGAACTACTCTGCTTAATGAAACCTATCTGAGATTAGGAGAGACCACTGAGATCCCACAGAATCCATGCTGGAGCAGAAATAAACCTTTTCAAATAACTAAAGGCAATGTGTGATCTCAAAACTGGCAGCAAGGTAAGAGAGGGCTCAAGAAGGGCAGCAACCTCATCCAGGTTCAGCACAGAAATTCATGCTCAAAGTATCACTAAGAAATTCCTTCTGCTGGAGAGTGACAGGATGGCTGAGAGACCTCCTGTGTTTCACAGCAGTAAAATGAGGAAAGTTACTCCCACTGGAGAAAGGATCATTCCATGAAACCTCATCTCAAACACACGCTGTGCAGCAGGACCAAAGGAAGAGAGGAGCAGAGATGGACACTGCAGCCCAGAGCTTATCTCCCGATGTGACCCCCAAATCCTGGTTTGTTCTGAAAGGCAAAACAACTTCCAAGGCAGAAATGCTATTCCTGGGGGAAGCCAGGACACAGCACTGGCATGAGGAAGTTGATGCTGGAAGTTACATGGAATCTGATTTCATAAGGGCCAACAGCGGAGAAGTGAAAAAGAAACTGAACACAAAAGCCTTCAACTGGCAGCACAGTGCACTCAGAAAAGGGCTCAGGCACCAGCAGGAGCTCCCTGATGCCATCCATCAGCACAGCTCAGCCTTTGCATTCAGCCCCAACGCCCCGGTGCAGCTCTGGGGCAGGCTCAGCACCCCAGTGCTGTGCTCTGACAGCAGAACGTGACCCGCTCCTTCCTCATTCGCACTCAGAGATCCCTGCTGACAATATTTGCATCCCTTACTGGCAGGAACCTGCCTCTTACTGTAACGAGGGGAAGGGGGAACTCCCAAACTTCCCAATCCCTTTTTTATTGTTTGTACTGGGCGCAGTCCACAGCCAAGAGGTTGAGAAAAGTGATGTAAAAACTACATTTCCAAGCAGCGTTGACGCTGCTTTGTAACCAAGAGACAACTGTGGAGTTTTTGGTGATGGGAGAACATCTCCCACCTAATTCCTCTCCTCACGCCCTCAGCCAGCAAGCACAGACACTCAGCCGGGGCAGGGATGTGAACCTGGGGTACCTCTCCACACCTTCGTGTGCTGCCGGGACCCCGAGATGGGGCAGGGATCTCCCTGAGCTCCTCCTTTCTCCCGACCTCGCCTCCTTAAGTTTCGCTGCCACTTCCGAAAAACCTCACCCGGCTAAAAGCATCGGCAAACCCGGACCTTTTCTGAGACAGTTCACACCACTCACGTCTGCCAACAGAAACAAATAACCCTACCCGAAACACAGCCTCGCTCGGCCGGGGTCGGAGGAAGGCGCCATCCGCAAGTTTCCGTGCCAGAGCTTGAAAAGTTCACAGCAGAGGAGGGAAAGCAAAAGCACAAGCGCTTGCACTGCTCGCCCAAAACAAAGAGCGTGGAAGTTCACGGCAGAACGGGAGCTTTACCAGCATACAGTTTAATAGAAAAAGAACCTCACAAAACTAACGAGAAACTGGGGGAGGGAGGGGACAGCGAGACCGCAGGGCACAGGTGTTTCTAACACGCATTGCTGACCTAGTGACAAGGGGCACCAGACGGGCGGTGCAGCGACAAGGGCAGAGACGGAGCCCGTTTTAGGCAACAAAGCGGGAGAGGGGGCACCCCGGCTGGCACATCAGGCAAGAAGCTCCTTCCCCGTCCCGTCCCGTCCCGCCCCGGGAGCGCGCTCCCCTACCCGCGATGGTCTCCTGGTATCCCTTGGTGAAGAACTGCATGGCCGTGGCCGCCCTCCAGGGCGTCTTGAGCAGCCCCTGCCGCTGCGGGTCCTCTCCCAGCCCCCGCAGGATGGAGGTGTAGGCGGCCGCCAGCCCGGGCAGGCTCAGCTCGTCGTCCTCCTCGCTGCGGGGACGCTCCCCCCGCCACCCATCCCCATCCCCATCCCCGCCACCGCCGCCCGGGGGGACCCGCGGCTTGTCGGCGGGGATGGGGGGCGGCCGCTCCTGCCGCGCGTACCCATTGCAGCCCCGCGCCCCGTCCATGGGCCAGGGGGGAGGCTCCGAGCGGCGCTGTGAGGGCCCCGCAGGCCCCCGGCTCGGCCCCCGCTGCGGGCGGGCCCGGCCCCGCCGCCCGCTTTTATAGCGCCCGCCTCGCCGCCACCAGGGGCGGGCCCCGCCCGCGTCACCGGCGGGGCCGGGGGAGACGGGAGGAGGGGATGGGGGGCACGGGGGGATCCCCCGAGATGCGGGTGTGTGCGGGTTGGGGGGGGTGCGGAGAGATATCCCCTGGGATGGAGATGCGCGGGGATCCGAGGGGATCCCCTGGGATGGGGGTGCGCGGGAGACCCCGGGCTGGGGACTGGGATCCCCTGGGATGGGGATTCGGGGAGATTCGGGGATTCCCTGGACTGAGGGAAGGGAGGGAATCCTGGGGCTAAGAGAAGGGCTGGAGATCCGAGGGGATCCTCCAGGCTGACACGGGACCTAGGTATGGGGGATCGAGGATCCCGGGCTGTGGGTACAGGGGATTCGGGAGGATTCCTGGGCTGGGAGTACAGGGGGGATTCGGGGGGATTCCCTGGACTGAGGGAAGGGAGGGAATCCTGGGGCTAAGAGAAGGGCTGGAGATCCGAGAGGATCCTCCAGGCTGACACCGGGGCTTGGGGTATGGGGGGATCCGAGGGGATCCCCTGGGCTGTGGGTACAGGGGGATTCGGGGGAATTCCCTGGGCTGGGAGTACGGGGGGGATTCGGGGGATTCCATGGGCTGGGGGTACCCAGGGATCCTGGGGCTGAGATGCAGGCTGGAGATCTGAGGGGATTCCCCAGGCTGAGACCCGGAATGGGGTGCGGGGACATCCCGCGGGATGAGGTGTGGGTGAGGGGTAGGGAGGGATCCAGAGGGACCCCCTGGGCTGAGGCATGGGCTGGGGATACGGGGGGGATCCTCCAGGCTGGGGGTACAAGGGGCTTGGGGCATGGGCTAGGGGCATGGGGCAATCCCCTGGGCTGTGTGGTGGGGGCATGAGGGGCTGACCCCAAAGCACTAACCCTGACCCTTCCATCAAAGCAGTGTGGGCAGAGTCCGAGGGGAGCCCGTGGTGAGAAGCAAGGGCATGGATGGGGAGGGTCCATCTGGGATGCAGGTCCGTGCCCTGCATGGCAGCTCCCAGCACCGTTCTCCATTGTCTCCTCCTCCCCTCAAACTCCTGGAGCCGGGTCTTTCCCCACTAGGATGATGCTGGCACATCCCACCTATTCTCTCCCGGGCACTGTTGAAATGCCATCACCACCATTTTGAGAGGCTGTGGGTCACTGGTGTCGGGATGCAGCCACCAGAACGACCCCAGGGGTGGACTGGCCCTCCTTTGTGACCATTCCCACCCACCACCTTATCCCAGCTGGGCTTCTGTCCCTTCAAACCCCTGATCTCTGCAGACACCTTCCTGCTGCAGGGCTGGTGTGTCCCAGTGTTTTCACATTCCCACCTGTGACTCTGGAAATGTGCCTTCTCTGGTGACCAAATATTTTGGGGTTTCCACGGGGATCTTGTTGCGACATCACCCCAAAAACTGTTTTTAGCATCCTGCATCCTCCAGGCACTTTGGGGACAAATCCAGCAGGCAGAGCACAGCTCATCTTTGCCAACAGCCCCTTCTGCCCCTGCCCCATGTTGGCTTCAAGTGTTGGTGAACAAATAAATGCTGGGGCAGATGTTTGGAACACAGGTCCCCTCCAGCTGGAGCTGTTCCAGGGTTTTATGAGCCAGAAACTGAGTCTAAAGGTTCAGCTGAGCGTGGGGTGAATGCTCCATCACGCATCACCCCAAGCAGGAGCCATCAAAATAAATGGCCATCCAAATAAATGGCCAAGATGCTAAAGGAGCCACAGAGCCCTCTCTTTTCACACTCTGTCCATAAGGCAGCAGGGACAAATTCCCCCCCCACCCTTGTGCCTAGGAAATGGTAAATTGCTGGGGAGATAAGGAAGGGAAGGAGCTGTTGGAGGGTGGGGTGTGGTGTGTGACTCACTGGCTTTACTCCTGACACAAGAGCTGCATTTAACCACGACAAAAAAGAAAAAAAAAAAAAAAAAAAAGAGGAAAAAGGAAAAAGAAAAAAAAAAACCACCCCGGCAGCTGTAACGTGCTCCACATTTATCATTTGGTTTCTGATCACAGGTTTTAGCAGAAGAGTCAGGATGACTCAGGTGAAATCCAGGCTCTGGCCTGCAGCCAGCCAGGCTTTACTCGGTTTTATTGCCCCGGGCTCCGATCGGGAACAGAAACTGCTGTACCGGAGGATTTGGAGCCCTGAGCTGCATCCCCTGATCCTCCCCAGACACCCCTGGGTACCTCCCATCATTTCACAGTGCCCTGATGATGTCCAAATCCCCCGTGTGAACCAGATGAGCTCCCTTACCAAAAACATTCATGGGCTTCTGCTGAACGGCTTCTGCTTCTGTTTGGCTCCAGACCGAGCTGACACAGTTCAGAGGGCTGGGGAGAGTTTCTGAGGAGCTACAAACCGCTGAGACCTAATCATCCATACAGAAAAAGGGGTTAGTAAAGGGCATCTTAAGTATCTCGGCACTCCCCAGTCTTTGGTCTCTTTATTTTCTGCGAAAAGAAGAAGATCAGCTCCCTCCGGAGCCAACCCGGGCTCCGTAACAGCCTCGACTCAGCTGCTGGGGGAGCTGGGTGTAACTCTTCTCCTATTTACGGGGCGAGAAGGGCAGTTTACAGCTTATTTTCTGGTGTGATCACTGTGTGGCTGTGCAGAAAACCACATTTCCCGGGAATGTCTGAGCACAGGTTGCCCACATGGCAGCAGTTCCTGCTGACAGCGTTTGCCACTATGGAATTATTGGGTTTAGATTATGTGGGTGTGTGTCAGAAATCTGGCCAGATTTCCAGCCCTGGTCACGTCCTCTCCTCCCAGGAACACAACCCCACAAAGGCTGGGTAAACAGAAACACCAACACTCAGCCATTTTTTTTTTTTTAATTAAGGATCTTATTAATTACACCCCTTGTTCCCACTTAGCCATCCCAAAGAAATTTTTCTTAGCTATTTCTGAATATATATATATATATATATATATAAAGTGAAATGCAGGCTATGAACAGAAGAATCATTGAATAATTAAGTTTGGAAATGACCTCTAAGATCATCAAGTCCAACCATTAACCCAGCACTGCCAAGGCCATCACTAACCCATGTCCCCAGGTGCCACATCCACATGTTTTTTGAACACTTCCAGTGATGGTGACTCCCCCACTGCCTTGGGCAGGCTGTCCCACCGCCTGACCACCCTCTCAATGAAGAAATTTTCCCTGATATCCAATCTAAACCTCCCCTGGTACAACCTGAGGCAGTTTCCTCTCATCCTGTCCCTTGTTCCCTGGGAGGCCTCTCTCGTCTTTGAAATTAGGGAAAATATTAAAGAGGGACAGGATGGGGGTGGGTTTGTGCTCAAGCTCCAGCTCCTTCACCTCTTTTAGTCAGCTGAGCTTCCTTGTGGTTTCGGTGACAGGGAGTGGGACCCGACTGGGAAGGGTTGGAGCATCTTTCCCTGAGTGCCCAAGATGCTCCTCAGGGTTTGAAGAGTGAGCTCCTGAAAGAAAGCTCTGCATGCCAAGCTGGGTGAGGATGAAGAGACCCTGGGCAGCTTCACTGGGACGGACGCAGCCCTCTGAAAGGGGAATTTCTGCACTGACAGCTGCTGAAAGGCTGTCACAATAAGCAGCAATCATGCACTGAAGACACCTATTTTTCCTCCATTGACTACAAAACGGGATCATTTAGGACTGGGCTCAGAGTTTAGAGTCGGGGATGATGAATTGCACCTTCTCAAGCCGCCTGTGCCGACCCGGTGTATCATTAACGGCTCAAGCAGCAGAAGAGCGACGCAGATCCATCCTGCTATTAACATCAAGCCAGGACATGGCTTGAATGTGATCCTCAAATAACAGCTGAGCCCACAGAGGCGATGGATGGCAGCAGCACAGCCCACGGACATCCTTCCCGTGCCCTGGAAACACAGTCCGAGATTTATCAGCCCCTGGAATCACAGTGCGTCAGCTGGAAGAGTGAATCACGAGCAATTTAATTCTATTACCCAGAATAACCAGCAAAATTGATTATTACAGGCTCCCAAAATACTACATCTTGTACAGAAGGATTTGCTGCTCCGTGAGGATCCCCGAGGTCTGAGGGGTTTTCTGCAGGTGGGATCTGAATTTGTTAAATCTCCTCAGTGGGTCTCATGTTTTAGGGATGGAACTGGAAGTGGAGGTAGCAGTTTTGCCCTGCCCCAGCTTTCCTTTCACAGCTTCACAGGGCAAGGACACGGGATCTCACACCCATGGGCTCCTCCAGCCTTCGCTCCCTGAAATTTGGAAGACTTCAGAGGAGTTTGCATGGAAAGGCTGTAGGAGGTGAATCCATAATTATGTTTTCAAGAATGTAAAAAAAAAAAAAGCTGTGTAACACAAGAGGACCTGCATCCCATTCCCAACACAAACGACCTGCCATCGACCAGGGGAGATCTTTAGGTCCCTCCATTTCCATTCCTAAACCAAGGACAGCTTTGGATTCACACCCCAGGTAGATGGGAACAGCGGCCGTGTCCCTGCATCGCTCCCCTCGATTGCTTCTCACCGTTATTACCCCGAGATATTGATAATGCAATCTGTAGACCGGACTGTTCCCTGGCAACACATGGCTTGAAACCATTCCTGCAAATTTCCCCTGCCATTCGTGTCCAATCGAGTCAGAATCAAGTGGCTCTTTTCGCAGCCTGGGTCGGTATTTGTGTTTTGCCTGCCTTTAAGTAAATTATTTGCTATTAAATTTGGATGGCAGCATCGAGCTGAGCACGTTTGGTGTCAGCTGGGAGGAGGGAGAAGCCAGATCTGCTGTTCTCCATCAAAGAACTCCATGAGACACCCAAGCTGCTCGCAGGCAGCTCTCGCTGCTCCTGTCTTGTCCTTGGATTAGCCAGCCAGGACCACCAAAATCAATCACTCCATGACCAACACAGCTGGAAGCTGAGTGGATTTTAAGAGGGGAAAGCTTGTCCAAACACAGGCTGTCC